CATCCTGGGAGGCCAGAATAGCAAGTGGCCTATCCTGGCACAGCAGTTATCATGAGCCAAGTGGCTGGATATCAATCTGAACAAGACCAATGTTGATACTGTAGTGTATCTATGCATTACCAGCACTGCCAGACCAGTACTGGGAAAGGCAGCATTGCATTTTCTAAATGGCTGTGGAATAGGCAATTATTTGGAAAGGCCCCAGGCTATCATCCAATGCTTGTGGACAGTGTATAATGAAAGGTCCACATGCTGAAATATGACCAGTGTGGTAGGAAGTGTAGCTAGTGCCAGACCCATAGCAGAATGTTGTATCTGTGCATTACTGGCACTGCCAGACCTGTACTAGAAAAGGCTGCATCATGTTTTCTCAATGGCTGTGGAGTACAAAATTAGGTTGAAAGGCCCTGGTCCATCATCTAATGCTTTGGCATGGTGTATAAAGGAACATGAACACCATGAAATGGAACTGGTGTGGTAGGAAGTGTAGCTAGCACTGGAGCCATAGCAGAACTTGCCATCTATTGCCTCTATCTTGGTACCCATACCATGCTGGAATAATATGTGGAAGCCAGAGGTACTATGCCACCATGGTGGCACCTGTTTTTGAAGGCCAGAATGGTCATTTACCAATGCCATGTAACCATGGCAGCTTCACTATGGTCCAGAAAACACCAGCATACATAGCCATGGTTCCATACTACACACTACAGCTACCAGATAACCCATCATCAACACTGTGCTTGCTATATTGTCTTCTGTTCTTAATGGCAATAAATCACAGTGCCACCCAGGATATTACACACTATATGTGCTGGGAATTCTCCAGTCAAACCTTCCCAGGACCAAATGCCCCCAAACCAGATCCTCCACTCTACATTCCAACATATGGCATTGTTGCTACAAATCAGATAGTGGCCAGCATGCATGTGGCATACAATAATAGAAGTAAGCTGATGTCCCAGCTGAATGTAAAGTCAAATGTAAATTGTATTGCAGAGCATAGCAGCATCAATCTGATCTGGCTTTCTGAGTGCCTTTCAGCTATGGAATTGGGGGTTGATGAAACCCAGGAGGCAGGCCACCTGGCAGCACATCCATCAAGTCTCACCAGCTTTGTGGATGAACCTATGGTAATCCTTGGTACTGGCAATACCATTGCATTGTGGTACCTTCCCAGTGCCATCACCAATGATTTGCAAGTCAGTTTGAACATTTCCTTTACACTCTATATTATTCAGGCATCCCTGCAGACACACATGCTTGCCACCTCTGGACCCCCTTCACCACACAATGTCCAAGAGTATGACAAGTGGCTCCTGGCAGAAAAATGCTGAATATTTCAATCACACTTCACAGTCACCAGGGTGCCTGGAGTTTTCCCTGGCCAGGCACCAACAGGGGCATATGGTATGGTTATATTACCTCAGGGGTATGTCTCTCAAGTGGCATCCAGGACCATGAACCTTTCCCCATCAGTTTCTGCTGACCTACAGGATGGATGCCAGTTATGAATGGTCCCAGCAGTCTTACCTCCCAGCTGCCATCCTCTCCTAGGTGCACTTTCAATTATGCACCCAGGCCTGTATGATGCTGGAAGGCAAGCCATGCAGTTGTTGGACACATGGTCAAGTCAGCATAACCAAGATATGCATGATGCCTTGCAGCACTGGCCATCAGTTTTTACTGAATGTCTCCATAATCTCTAACCTGGACCACACTCTTTCACTGGGACCCACACTCACAGTCCAATTGGTATGACATGCTGGTCATGGTTGGTGAATTATGAAGATTGTGTATTGGATATCCCCACATGCTTGGCCTTCAGTTCCTTTACAACCCCATGGCACTGTAGTTGCATTTTCATGCAGGCTTCTTCAACATGGGGTTAGTTCTGTGGGTGGGAACCAATGTTGCTTTGCCTACTACATGAGGGACAACATACACAATTGGATAGGGATACCCATGTGGGGATTGGATGAGAGTTCAGAATGTCCAGGACTTGGTTGATGCCTGCAGGTCCAGTGGGACATTCCATATAACCTACACTTATCCAATAGGGGGTCCATGTAAAGGTAGTTCTATAGATATTATATGCCATCCCTAAGCCAAGTTATTTTCCATATACCTCCCCCAAATATCAACTATGGCTGGCCCATAATTGGCAGAACACTTCAACTTGAGCCAAATCCAGTCAGATAGCACACTGGGAGATTGGCTTGCTTGTTGTGCATGAGACTAGTGGCATATGTGCCAGACAACATGGATTGGTGATCATAATACATGGGCTGACTTGAGACAGATGGGACACATATCCATATTGTGGGCCTCCCATACACCATGAAACACTGGAGTATTTGTCCTAGCCCATCCTATGGGATCATAATATCCAGGGCCCTCCCCAAGGACACATGTACAATGGACTATAAGCCCTCCATAGTACATGGGCACTCCTATTTGGGCTGAGGCCAATGCACATAGCACACTGAAATATGCTCCTACCATTCCAAATGGAACACTGCAGGTCCAGTTGAGCCTGTATTACATGGGCCACTGATATATAAGCCCCATAGACAATAGCTTCCAAGCCTGAAGTCCAATATATATGGGACACTATTTGTATGGCTCATCCATTCACCAGGGGATGCCAAAAGACTAGCCCATCATCTACACTGGTAACATTAAGTGGCCTTCACTGGGCATCCATGCCAATCAACTACCTGTAGGCTGGGCATCTGTCCCAGTCCCCTATCATAAGGCCAGTATGTGTCCCAGGTTATGGTCATCGACTGGGAATTTGGCCCTGGCTGACTGGACTCTGCCTGGAACATATACCAGCCCAATAGAATCCCACTGGAGTGCCTTCTGAACATGCTGTAAATAGCCCAGAGGGTGTCATCCATCCCAGCCAACTGGAGTTGATTCAGAATTGATGCCAAACAACTGCCACCAGCCCTGGACCTGTGCCAGCCCACTATAGTTGTGGCCTGGTAGGTGTCCCTAGGGTCATGGTCATCAACTGGGAACTTAACCCAGCTGACTGGATTTGGCCTGGAACATATACCAAGCCCAATACTGTCCCACTGGAATGCCTTCTGAACCACTGTAAATAGCCTGGAGTTTGTGATCCATCCCAGTGTGAGTCAAAGTGTGGTTCAGTGGTGAAAACCAACCAAAACCAACACAAAAGACAAAAAGAGCAAGTGGTGGTGTGCCTATGCAGTACCTAGATGGTAGAACCTTTGATTGGGTGGGTTTTTGTGAGCTACAACACTCAAAGATGAGTGCTGAGGGTTGGGGGTGCTCCTGACAAAGAGGGAGCAAGAATGCAATAGAAAGTGATAGGGTAGACTGCTGTCAGCCTACAGAAGGATGGATGGCAACTTCATTTGATGTCCTAAGCTGCACTGAGCTCAGGGAGGGCTTGGAGCAAAGTATATTGATGATAGACAAGGATAAGTGAAGTAGATGATAGTTAGACCCTTAATAAAGTCTCAACTATTGAAGCTGCTGAATGAATTACTGAGTGATGATAAAATGTGAGCAAGAGGGGCTCTCTGATGTCTTCCTTTTCTTTGCTATCTCAGTACAGTGATTTATATACAGTAAAGGGGTGTTGCCCTTGGAAAACAAGGTGCAAACACTTGGTAAGTGATTGGTAACTGATGAGTAAGGAATGTAAGCAATGGGTAATTCATCTTGGAAAGCATTGGTAAGCATTGGTAAGGATTAGCAAGCCAAAAGGCAAAGGAATCAGTAAGCAAAGTCAAAAGATTGGTAAGTATTGGCAATAGGTGAGTCAAAGACAGTCAGAACATTCAACGTATGAGTCAAGTAATGTCAGGAACTGGGAAAGTGCACTGGAATCACATTAGGGGGAGGCTGTGCATGTCACATCTCAAAGAGATCACTTCTAGGCCAAGGATGGGATGACAGAGAGGCAGCACTGATCTGATGCCAATATAGTACATCCAAAAGTGGACAGGGTGAGTCAGATGTCAACAGGGGTCAAGCTTTGGGGGTCTGTGGGGTGACAGGAGCATAGGGGATCACAACTTTCCCCCCCAAACCATCCCTCTCAGTGAAGCAGACAAAAACTTCATGAATGAGGCTCTGTTGGAAGAGAGGATGAAGAGGGAGTGTCTTCTGCTGTATCTTGCAACAAGGAGGCAAGATGTGCATCATACTCATCATGGATGCAATCAGGGAGAGTAGAGAACAGTAGATTATACTGTAGCTGTCACAATCTTGGAAGAATGATGGATGAGACTGGTGTGAAGACATTGCAGGGAGCAGGGAGGAAGGATCCATATGCTTCTTGGACTGAAAGAGACTGAAATGACCACATAAGACCTTTCTAAGCGAATGACAGACCTGAGGCAACCAAAGAACATCCTCCTAGAGGTCATACTGACAAAAAGAACACATGCTGTCCAAGCTGGATGGGCTGAGAGGGCACAGACAAGGATGGGATGTACCAGGATGCTTCAGGACAGAAGCTGGTAGGAACTCCTGGTAGATATATGTAGCCATGGTCCCTAGCAAAGGGGAAAAGGCAAATGATTGATGTGGAGGCAGCCATATCAGAAGAATTAGCGAAATGAGCATCTTTTGGAGGGAGTGCTGTAGAAATGTGTGGAGTGCACAAATCCTTTCCAATTTTGGAAGGTAAGATTGCATGGCTGAGCACTACAAGCAAGTGTGGGAATGGTCTTGGTATCTGCAGAAACAGCAGAGATATGTTGAAAACTGGAATGCCATACATGGGCACTTAAGAAATTTAGCCAGCACTTAACTTGCTCCCTTTCTTTTTCTCTGGCACTGATGACTTGTTCTTGTGCAAGGGATGACTGCTGACATTCCTGGCTGTCCTTCTTCACATGAGGGCTATGGTCTTCATCTCCATTCATCAGCTGTATCCATGTCCACCTCACCAAACACCTTTGGTGTGTGACACCAGCCAACTGGAGTTAGTTAGGAATTGATGCCAACCAACTGTCACCAGCCTTGGCCCCCTGCCAGTCCCCTAGATTCAGCCCAGTAGATATCCTGGCTCACTGGCAATAACATGGGATCTGACCCAGCTAACTGGAAATGTCAGGAAGTCATACTGGCCCAATAGAATCCCACTAGTGTGCTTTCTGAACCACTGGAAATATCCTGGAGGCTGTGATCCATCCAGCCCACCTGAATTAGATGAGCATCCATGCCCACAAACCACCACCAGCTTATCCTCTATTCTGGTATATTTGCACTATACTGGTATGGGTCCTGGCTTACTAATACTGGCATGAAAGCTGGCTAGCCATATATTCCAACTACCTGCCATAATCCAGGCACCCATCACAGCCCACCTGCATAAGGCTGAGTATGTGTCCCAGCATACTAGAAGTGGCTGTAACTCATACTGGCCCAATGGATGCACATTGGTATGCCTTCTGACCCACTGGAAATAGTGTGGTGGCTGTCATCCATACCAGCCAACTGGAATTAGCTCAGCATCCATGCCAACTGACCATCACCACCTTAGCATCTGTGCCAGCCCACTAGCATAAGACCAGTATGTTTGCTGGCTTATTGGCATTATCCTGGCATTTGTCCCAGCTTACTGGAATTAGCCTGGCATTCATACCAACCCAATAGAATTACAGTGGAATGCCTTCTGACCCACTGGCAATCACTGACACATGCTGGGCTCATGCCAGTGAGCCCAGACCAGGTTAGTACCAGACCTTTCCCAACTTGCCAGAATCCATGCCAGGATTATCCAGGCAAGATGTATAAAGTAGTGACCCCTCAGCCACACTGTGCAGTATGGTGACATCCAATGATCATGGCTATGCTGTGTGACATGATAACAACTCAGAGGTGGGCTCAACTTTAGCCAGTCTGTGCAACATGGCCAATTGTCAACCTCATTTGGTCATATGATATGGTACAAAGCAGGTACATTATGTGCAGGACAGGGCAAAGAGCAAAGACAGAACACTTGCCTTTATTCTTGAATTGAGTGATAGGTTTGAAGTTTAGAGTGAGGGCTTGATAACAGTGTAGAATGATGTAAATCAATGTAGATCAATGGGGAGTACAGCAGAAATCCCTGAGTTTATATACATGTAGACCTATGCATGGACCAGTAGCATAAAAGGAAGGTACCACTATGTAAGGTAAAGAATAGCAGAGAATGTCATGGAATATGACATAGTAAATGATGTCATACTGATGTCATTGTGGAGCTGTATGACTGAGCATGTCATGTGACATAACATGTGTATCTAAATGTGTCAATCTAGATGTGTCTAGATGATCAGAACTATTATGATATTTCCAACACTTTTTTTCATAGATGGCAATTTGGAGTCTTCTGGAAAATGCTTGGCTACCTGACATGACAGCAACTATCAATGAGGACAAGGTCTGTTGCCAGCAAAATTTAGCAGTGTCGTCGCCAGGGTAATTAATCCTCGTTTTTCGTGCTTTCAGGGCAGCTTTTACCCACTCTTGTTTAAAAGCAGAGAAGTAAACGAGCATTTAGGAATCCATCCAACAAACGTCGCTCCTCCAGAACTCACAGGGCCAGCACTTCAACGACTCGGCAGACGGGTATGTCACTTTCATCTCGCATGCTACTCAGCCACATGACACCCCGACGCAACCAACCTTCCGTAGCCAGCGTTCCAAGGAGCCCCTGCGCGGAATTGAAATACTGTTTCCAGCCAGTATCAACCACCCAGTTGTGTTGGAAGGAAATCACTTGCGGTTCTCTTTCTAAGCACATGCGGCACAAACACGGGGTCTCAGCCACACACCCCGAAGACTTCGTTTTCTGCGAGTGGAATTGGGACTGTGGACGGTGCCCACGAAAGAACCTGTGCGGTCACATTCAAGAAACCCACTTAGGCCACAAGCGTGGCGTCGGGCACACGTGAGAACTGCAGAATTATTTCCGTTACCCTATTTCTCATTTCGTTTTTATCCTTTAAATCAGTGATAGTGCCTGAATACTCAAC